CCGTTCCTATTTTGGAACTATAAAGCTGAAACAGTTGACCTATTAACACAAACTGGCCAAAATCATGAGGTAATTGTGTGCAAAGTTCCTTTTTGAACAAATGTATCCTATGCGAGTTATGCCCCTTTCCCAAAATGTAAACAATTAGTAATTCAACCCGGATGTGCCACGCCCACCTCAACTTTTTTGTCATAGGTAAATATATATTTAAATTGTCTTGTTGTGTTCCAAGTTTCAATGTTCTACATAAAATAGGTCATAAGATATATACACACCAAGGTCAAAGAAACAGAAATATTGTAAAAAAAAACTCAAATTCGAAAAATTCACGAATTTCAATTTTGCTTTAAAAAACGATTGTTATAAATCACTTGAAAGAGCATGAAAAGCACATTAAGAATCCGAAAAAATTAACCCTCTAGGTTAATTAGGTCACGTGCTAGAGCAGTCCAAAGTTGCGAATTTGGATGTTTTCGGACAGCTATAAAACCAGAAGTACATGTCGGAGGTCAAATGTCAAAGTATTAACTGATAGCTAAGGTCAATGACCTTTGACCTTATGAAGGTCAAGGTCATCAAAATTAAGATCACGAGATATGACCCTTCAAACTTTGAAAAAATTCAACCGGATGTTGCAAAAAAGCAAAGTCGAGAATCGAAAAACGGCTTCCTAATGTCATTTTTTTTTTATCTTCTTTCATTTGACACCAAAATCATTTAAATCGGATGGGCCATTATGTCTGAATAAAAATCGAATCATTTCAGAAAAACCAAAATGGCGGCCAAAGTTTCACGTCTGTTCCGGATTTTTTTTTTCTTCGTTTTTTTGTCATAACTTTGTCTACCTATCAGCATAAAATTTTTTGTCCTATACAAATTACACCGAAAGATATTCAACCGGAAGTGAACATCGTTTTCCTGTTTAAACCGGAAGTGAAATTGAAAATTTGACTGTACCATTTTGTTTACATTCTTAAACTGTCTTTGCTCAAATTTTTTCAGATTAATCAGACAAAAAAAGCAAAAAAAATGAAAAAAATGCAAAATTTGGCAAAAAAACTGTCTGCGACAAATTTACGAATTTTGAAATTTTGGAACTGGTATTCTTTCAGATTTTAACAGTAGATTCCAAAAATGCAAACCCAAAGAAAATCGACCGAAAAATACGACTTCTAGAGCCGATTATCTATTCTTGCACATATTGAACTGTGGCACTTCCGGTTTT